TATATTCAGATACAAGGAGATACTCTCTGTCTGTCTCTGTCTCTCTCTCGTGGTGGTGATGGGTGTGCATGCGTGTGTGGATGGAGGTGGGTGAGGGTCTGTTTGTGTGGTAGTGTGCATGTGGGTATGGGTGTGTGTGTGAGTGAGGGTGTGGGTGTGTTTGAGTGTGTGGTGGTGTATGTGGGTGCGTAGTGAATTTAGTATAAGTATAGTTTTATTTTCATCGCTTTTAATATTAATGGGTAACTATATTATAATAAATTTCGGGCTTATCAATGGACATGCTATATACGGAACGAGATAAGAACGTAAGGAGGCAAGTCAACCCACCGCTGAATATTATATCATTCGTTTGCGATTACGAGGTCATTACCCTAGAGATAACAAAGGTAAACTTTTAGATATGGAATACCAAGGTCGTGCTACTACACACAGGGACGGATAACGAAAGTAACGGAATGACACCTGCATTTCAGGTAGAGTTTGAAAAATCCTTGTTCTTTCGTTCGATTTAGTTGATGATAAATAAAAGTACAAAAGATTAAAGATATTAATAGAATTGTGATTAGAATTACGATGACGATAACTTCATCTATACACTTCAAAGTTCAAAGAGACGATGTTAGAATTATCGAAAAGTACAATGACAATGCGTTATTCGAAAATTCTAAAGGATTTGTTTTTTTTCTTATGATAATGAGCTGCGACATATTTTACCTCGTGTTGTATAGTGATTCATAATTTGTAGAAATATGTCATTATACGTTAGAAAGTCAAGGAACTGATGCCGAAATTGTAACATTTAGGTTTGAAGGGATATCAATGTGGTAGAGCCCTTTTCAGTTATGAATAAAATCAATTTTTATTTCCAATATTATTAAAAAAAATCGTTTTCATTTTGAAATAAATTCCAGCTTTGGCATGTATTCACGTTCAATGGACATGTACGTGAACATTGTTTTTTTGTAAATAGCCGAGATTGCATAAAAACACACAAGTGAATAAAACTTTTCAATACATGCAAAGCGTTAGATTCAATAAAGACAAACGATGAATTTAACTAAATCATACAGCCGTTTCGTCCTTATAGGAATCGTCAATGATGATACGGGTCTAAATGTTGAAACTTCGGAGGCGTCTGTGATCGAAAAAAAATCGAACACTATATGGGGAGGTGCACTTGCACTGACCAATAATTCAATAAGTAATTAATTTCATATATCAGATGGTGTTAGAACAACTAAAGCACATTAAGAATGTCTATTGTTTGTTTATGTATGCATGTGTAACTTTATATACCAGTTTGGTATTTATTGAACGTATGAAAGAACTGACTGTGAACAACTATTACACACAAGACATTTTCGTTTATTGTATTATCGAATATATCACACTACATGTTAGAGTGTTTATCATCAATAATATGTACTAGTTTATAAGATATGATGTACGTGATATGCAGTTTTGTAGGATAATACAATGCATCTTATACAGTTTATCAAACTGCATATAACACATTTTTTCGAGTGTGTATTTATATAATAGACTGATATACAAATTAAGTGATACAAGGCTGTATCACTGCCAGATCGCCCACTAGAAAAACACCTCCAATATGTATCTTGAGCTTTCTCCGTTGTTTCAATGGTTGTATGTATTCACCGTTGTGGGAACTACTTGACCTGCCCCTATACATTGCCTACATGGGAAATGAAATTCGCTGGTGTTTAGATATAATTTGATTCACTACTAATATATTTTTAATCAATAATTGTTTGAGATTTAAATACATCAATGCGTTTCCTATCGAATAGTACCACGTTTTGATTCATCCAAACAGTGGCACAACTTAGATTATATACATGTACTAATCGTTGTTCTGTTATCAGGTTTATTGAAATTACGGTATGTATTGAGTTATGCGACTTGTGCACATTCATAAACTTCTGTCCATCATTTTGTTTTCTCCACTTGTTTGTCTTATGTACAATCATCAAATATTGTTATATCTCGAAATCTTAGGTTTTATATATAAGTATATGTTTCATTGTCTCATTAAATCTGATCTATAAGGATTTGATATTAAATACCGTGCTTTTATGATATTGCAGTTATCAGTTTTGATGTGATGGAATCGATTATCAAACGATATGATTTCTTATATCTTACTCTTTACCATGGTAACAACCACACCCATTTTGATACGGCTTCATTGTTCAAAACAAGACACAAAGGATAACAGATATTTATTATTATTACTATTTCTATTATTTCTTTATTTGTTTATCTTGATTAAATAGTTTAATTTTTCACATTTTATCTCTTAAAGAAAATAACCCATATTTCAACTAAGCAATCAAGATGAAATATAGAATCAATCACGCACTGGGATATTACAATTTGATAAGATAAAATAAATCGGACAGAAAACGGCGCCGGGCATCTAGCAGCAAACCTATCTTTGACAGAATGAATCAAGTAAAAGTGATCACGTATGTGCCATTATCACGTAATGGCTTTATTATTCAGTGCAATATTTTTACGTATAACACATGTGTTATATAATATATTGTGACGTCTGATTAATAGCATGAAAAGACTTAACACAATGCTTAGATATTGCATTGTGACATAACAATGCAGGTCAAGGATATAGAACCGAAAGGACATCAAGTGTTTGAAGTTGAATGTACGATTTCTGCATCATTTACCTGAATTATCGATTGCATTCGTTTCAATTTGATGATATATAACTTGACATGTGACCTATGTGGTGATGTTTATGCTGAAATTACATGGAGATACTTCTTCAAATTAAGACGTCAATAGCTAAAGGTTAAATAACGAATTTTGGCACGTGCTTAAGTGATAAAAATCCCATGTTATGCACTGTAGGTGATATTTATCAGACATGATATTTTGATATAGAATTTATGATAAGATAAGATAAAAATCCAGACAATACCAATATGTCAACATCATCATAATCCAAAATCAAATGTCATAAAATAAGGGCAATATATGAACAAAGGAACGATTAACACGGACACTCCTGAAAAATTACAAAAAGACCAGATCTTCCGGAAAAGTAAGCGTCTCTTGCTTCTTCGACAAAACCCGCCATATAATGAAAGTTCTTAAAGTTTTAGATAATGGTTTAACATACGTTTATATAAAAAAAATAACATACACATCGTAGAACACTGTAGTGACAAGTTATATACAATCAGTGTAACTAGCACAATTTAATACTAGCATAGTGAGAAATGTCACATTTAATGCTAACTTATTATATTAGAACTTGTGAAGAATTAACGTGCAATTACACGTTAACAAGAAAATTTAATGTTTAACATGCACTAACTTAATTACGTTTGCAATGTTACGCGCCTTTTGTGATAAACACGTTAGCACCAGCTTGCATGATAAATATAAAATGCAGCACATCTGATCTTGACATAAATAACCCGAAACACATATTTTGCTTGGTAATATGATTTATGATGATATAATTAGCGTGTGCATGTTGCGTCCACAAAAATAGAACACATATGAATGTGAACGATATTACGAAACTAAGTCAGAAGTTGGCTGTGCAACAATTTGTTTATCAGATAATGACATAACCACTAAATTCATCAATCCTAGTACGGTAGCCATTAATTGTCTTATCTTATAATATACCTTTTCCATTTGAAATGTGAACGCCTTCTGTTAATTTGTTCGTTTATTTCATTACCAAAGGGCGGTATACTGTATCAAAGTGAGCTAGGAATGAAAGCTTTCTTGTATTTGTATTGTGTTGAGTAGTTTAGCTGGCACGAAAATAAATCTGTATAGACCAAGGAATGTTTTAATACCCGTGGTTCGAAAGCAATAACGACGTCCATGCAATTTAATTGACAAAACAGTTTCATGAAAAAGTCAGTTAAATCGAATTCGTGTTCCCTTATTGTACTTTTCACATGTTTACAACAACACCATGTACACTCTGCTTGAGTTATGTGATGGAACGAAAAGACATTGTTAAATGTGGTATGTGGAAAAACAAACATCCATTGATAGATACCCTGGCATCTCGCTGCTAATATCTCGACAGTGTACCAAAATGAGGTCACTAGCAAACGAGAACAAAAGCATCACTAGCACACGGTTAACGGACCTCAGCTGTGATAGCAAGCAATATTTTCGGTATCGATTTTCCAACGTCACGTTTTGGAAAAGGTCGAACATTGAGAGATAACATGCGTTTGAGTGGGAAGTGTGAACGGAAAGCCATGCGATCGAGGCATATGCCAGATTTTACATCTCCTACTTGAGCTGCAAAGCAACCTACTAGATGCAGTCAGTGCAAATATCTCTTTTAACAAATATAAACCATGCAGCTGTTTGCTGAACTTGATGGTATAGTTTATAAGTGGATATTGTGTATTGTGAGCGTGGCGTATTTTAGGAGAGTAAATTATCGTATGGTGGGTAGTGTGTCACAGAGAAATCAGCCCTGTTGGCGTTACATAGGAAAGTGGGTTTTTTTCTCTATATTTGTATAAAACTATGTGATCGATTCCAGTTAAAACAAGTTTGTAGCATAAGCTCAGATAGGAAATGTTTTCACTGATGTGATAATTTATTATTTCAATGAACACATAAAAAGATATAAAATATATATTGACCTTAATTAAACGGACAGCCGTAATTCGTTTATTTTGAAATTAGTCTACAACAGATTATTCATGTTATAATCAATTTCAATATGTGTGGGATATCGTTCCTCGTGGAGAAAACGTCAACATTTTCAAGACATGAAGCGATAGTTGAGAAATTCATGAAAACTGCAGAACTGCAGATATATTTTACGTTTTATTTTGTTTTTTACTTTGTGGTAGATTGTATTGCAAAGATTGACAAGTGAACGAAAGGATGAAATCTTGATAAGATTTTGAACTTGCTTTGTGTTCACTGAAGGAAGCATTAATGTGTCGTCTGCTCGAGATACATACCTCTTGGCAAAAATCCTGGTAAACACACAGTTTAGAGTCTGGTGACTCATACACATAAAAGCTCTCCTCTTGTGAATAATTAAATCAGCCGGGAGGGCTCGTTGTGCCTAATGAGTTTTCTACCACCATCAGTGCCCAAATCAAGGGCGTGACTGTTGCGGGTTTGACACTTAAGTGTTATTTGGTTCCTCGTATAGAAAAGTGGACCTAGCGAAGCGGTGAATATCGTTCAGCCAATGAAAACAATTATATGACGGCTTCAAGGCCGTTCACCACGGTTGTGAGTGAAGGATCACAGTGTATAGCTAAGTTAATAAACAAACACAACTCCCATGTAAACATGGTCGTGGAATACATCCTTCAGAAATAAGCAGCCAAATCTATAGTTCACAGTACACAGGGACAGCAAATTTCGACTTATTTTTGTAATACATGTATTGGCTGAAAGCTATACAGATATGAAAAACATCCTTTTTATGAAAAAAAATATGAGTTTTTTTTCTAAATTATCATCTATAAGAGAGTATAGAATTTTAATTCTGAATCTTCAATACCAACTCGATTTACCTTATATTCATTAACGTGTCTGACATGTCATTAGTTTCCTTAGCATTGCCTTCATTTAAACTATTCAAAAAATTAAAATGACAAGTACTCTTTATTAAGTACTTCCATCTTTTTTATCAAAATCATTATTACAATTCATAGACATAGCATATGTACTGAAGTTTAATTGAAAACCTCGAATATTTTATCATATTTCTATAGAATTTAATTAGAATTTTTATTGTGAAAACCTTAACATATTAAACTGTAAGAACTTTATTCATATGTGGGTTTAGTGCACCTCCACAACTACAGCTATATCTTAATATTTCATATCGAACAATTAAGAATCTTCATTCGATCTCTTTTCATTTTTTTCTATTGCATCGATCTCGATCACAGTCGCCTTCAAGCTTTCAAATTTTAGGCCCCTGACATCTCTGACAAGTCTCAGAAGGACACAACAGCTGTATGATGCAATTTAATTAATTGTTTGCCTGTCCATGTCTAATTCTTAATTTGTATTAAAAGGTGATACTAAATCATGTGTGTTTTGTACAATCATTTAGCACTTTATTTCCGATCCATAAAAATGAAACAGTCTTTTGAATAAGTTATATTCATTACTATGTTTTACACTGTTAAATTATTAATCAAGTTATGAATTTCTCTGGCAAAGTGCTATTTACTCATAAGTGTTTTGAACAGTTCATTTACCAGTAAGCTCACCATGGAATATAATGATACTCTTAATCAAATGAGTATTTAAACACTTATGTTTTTCAATAACAATGTATTTGAGTGAGGAAAGAATAATCAAAAAGATTATTTATTTAAGTAGATTTAGTACGTTCAGTATGAGAACAATACAAGTAGTTCACATAGACAATCAACGTTACCATGTGTGATGAAACAATAAGACATAAATGTAATTTCCATACAACCATACAACAGTATACAAGAGTAGAGAAACAATTATCTTGAATTATGTTTTCATTTTTATGAAATCAGAGAAAACTCGTCTCGAAGTTTTATTTCTTGCTGGTCAAGGATCGCAAATACCGATTTAATATAATCGTATATGAAATGAACAAATTAATACTTTTTAGTTCCTATATAATTGTATATATTTCACTTACTTTTGATATTTTGTTTTACAACTTTTACAACAAATTTTGGAGCATTTTAAGGTCAGGGTCTAATGTAATGGCCAAGTTATGATCATATTTAATTTCCTCTGAGGAAAACAGTCTGACCCCACATATATAGAAATACAAGGAAACGTTCATTATCTATCAAAATAGTCATCGTTATGGTATATGTATTTTATTGTGGTGAAATATGGTTATATGAAATTTCAAAACAACATTAGTTGGACGGCAAATCAGTAAATATAACATCAACATTCAAAGATACACCTGTATGACTACATTATCAAAATGTTTTTATAATCTTTATTATCAATCAAATCCTACCTGTGTGATAGCAATACATTAAAATGATAAGGAAAGGATCAAATACCAATGAATGAAAATAAATTAAACCTTTAAAGATAATTCAATATTAGTGCTTTATATGAATAACGTATGTGTTAATAATGCGTAGTTTTACGGTTCTGGATTTTTTTCCCTTACTTTTTTATCTTTTATGTCAAATCATTTTCCTTGGTTGCCTCGAATTTGAATTCGTTCATTGACTTATTTAGTTTACATATTTATCTATTTATTCCTTATTATCTTTATTCTTTAGTTACTGTAATGTCATTTGAAAAATATTTTAAAATAAAGTGTAAAATATGGTTGTTCACAACAGGGAAAAATCTTCGTGAACAACTACTATAGATTATGCTTAATTTTGCTAGCATACTTAAGCTTTGGTTATTATCAAAATTTTAGATTTTAAAACCTATAGCGTATCACAAAGAATATTTAACATAGCTTCGTTTCGTTTCCGATATATTTTTTTCTTCAAATGTACCACTTTATTGTATCTCTCCTTGTCGAAAACGGGTTTGTCTTTGACATCATTTTTTCTCTCTGTCTAATGCAATTTCCGTGTCATCAAATTACGAATATATGTGGACTTTTCGATGTAATATTTTCTTTTCCGATTTAATTATCTTTCTTCCAACGGAATTTGAAAAAGAATGTTAATATTCTGCAAACGATCAATGTTCGTACTAAGATTGACGGTGTATCATGTAAGCAATCAATAGCATGAAAATTTGGTGGTCCCTGCCTCATTCAGAGATTGTGACTATTCTTACAAGGCGGGAATGCTTAAACAACTGTTTATTTTATCAACATTTTATTCCGGTTACACAGGTTCCTTCTCATATGAGAAAATTGGCAAAAATATATTTTCTAATACAATAAGTTATATCTGTCAATTGTAATGTATGATAGTACTTGTCTTCTATGACATATTAAATAATGGTCCTTGACAGAAAGGAATTTGACAATTAACGTCCAAAGAAAGTTATACTTAATAGTTATTTTACACTTATACTCATATTCACAAATTTTCAACAGAAATACTGTATGCTTAATGCTATAACGTCCTAACGGTACATATACATTGAAACCCCAGAGAAAGATGAGAAGGCACTGATCATTTGTGATAAGATATGATAATAGATATACACTTTTGTATATTATACGTAAAATGATATGATGTCATTATATCTAACAAAATTCAAGTTCCATTTTTAGTTTAATTCAATACTTGGTTCGATTCTATGTAATTCTAATACTTTTATTTTCCAAAGGCATTTATCACTTGTGTCTTTTGTACAATATTTGATGTGCGAATACCTTTGTATCACTTATTCAATTAAAGAAATATCACTATTCATTGATTAATAAATGGTAAAAATACAAAGCTAAATTTAGATAATACACATTAGGTTAAATGTAGATTATTATTATTGATATCTTTCATTGTAGATTGTCTTTATTCACACAAAATTATATCACATTTAATCCTGATTTGTAGACACATTTGGATCTTCTAACAATAGTAGCTAGTATTATCTATTACTGTCACGCAAACAACAGCTCAGTGTATATATATTCTTATTTTTGATAAGTAGTTAACAATTTGTAGACATGATAATTAGATTGTGATAAGAATATTTGATACAAGTTTACATTTGGCAGAACATGGCCATGAAAAAAGACACGTAACCGAAATTTTCAGTTGTCATTGATTATTTTTCTTTCTTGTGACCTTGAAAAATTATTTATACATATGCTGACAATACTTTCATGATATAAATATGTTTAATCTATTAAATGTCTGTTTATACTATTTCGTCTATTGCTGTGATGTTATAAAAATGTGTATTTCATCATACAAATATTATTGGAAAATAATTCATGGCATTTGTGTGATATTAAAACAATGAAATATGTGTTTGTTTGTACGTAAATTGTCATATGTATCACTGCAGTATTTACATAAGCAAACCAGGAAATGTTCTTCATGGAGTGCATACAAAATGTGCTTTAAACTATTTATCAGTATGAAAACTTACACGTGTCAAGTAGGTCTGAACATTTCACCTGTGTAGGTCTCAGTAATATGTCTTTAAAAAACTAACTGTTGTTCATGTATATAGAAAACAACCAGTTACTTAGATAATTAATATAAAACTTACTCATTTATAATCACTATTGATGTTTATAGGACCTTAAGTGATATAAATCCAAAACCAATCAAAACCAAATAAAACTCAATAAATAAAAACAATGTAAAAACAAACAATTAAAATGCAGTCTCAGCTTTGATAATAAGGCAATCAACTAGAGTATAAAGGCCGAAACTTCGGGACTCAGATATGTTGTTTGGTAGCAACCATATAGCTGATCAAAATAGATTCAGTTCATAGAGTTCGTATTTGTGATAATGGCAGATACCTGTGGTTACTTGATTAATATAATGTCATAATATATGTCATTATCTTTACATCGTAATTAAAACTGTCATATTCAATTTCCTGTTGTAATTAACTGATTCGTGCCAAATTTCATTAATTGTTCAAATTTTGAAATATTATGTCGTAAAAATGATATGACACGTTACTTAAGTTATTTGGTTATGCATGTTGTAGTGAGTTTGTAAAGTACAAAATAATATCCATCTAATATATAGATTTAATTAAGAAATAGGGAAATGTCATGAAAGTGACAATGACATCACTAGAATGATGAATAAAATGTATCATAAATAAGATATTAATATGAATTTACAGTGTGTTTTCAACCAGAATTATGGTAATATTTTTAAGTATGTATTTTAATGGAAAACTTAAAAATCAAATTATTTTTTATATAATATAACAACAAGCAAAAATTGCAAAAACACATATTTATTTATCATTTTGTTTATATTACATATGTATATATTCACAATTTCGCCTTCCACGTGCCTCTTCAAATATACAATAACCTTGAATGGTTAGGAGAATTGTATACTGCGTAATACTGCATTTCCGACTGGGTGTCCATGACACGTATTAGCCTTGTCACACTATACATTTGATTTAAAATCTACAATAAACTTCACGTTAACGCTTGTATACAATAAGGAAATGCTCTGAACAACTCCGCGGCAATTGTACCCACCACACTGTACACAATGCACATCACTACTGACACAGTGAATGTGCCTGGGAAACGCGAGGTGCATGGG